CCAACCCAAACCATTGTGTGATTCCACAATTCTGTGATATCTCCATCCAAATTCCAGGATGGGCTCTGATTCCCATGTTTTTTAAGCCTCTGGGCGTTGCATTCCGTGTTTCTGGGGGAGCCCTGAGCGTGGCCCCCGGCCGTGCTCCGCTGGCACACGCCGTGCTTGGATTTGCATTTCCATGCACAGCACTGTCCCTTGCTTTTTTTAGCCTTAAATGCACCTGGCTCCTGCTCAGCCCCGGGGCGTGCCAGGCTCTCCCAAAAACGTGCCCTCAAAATCTGGGTGTTCCTCCTGGAATGGCTGGAAGGAAGTTGTTGAGGTACGGGCGGATTTGCTGCCTCGGTTTTGGGATGGCTGTGACTCTCCCCTTTGAAAAGGAATCATTCAGCTGGTAGAATTCCACCTACAATACAGATATTTTTAGGGTTATTGTGAGGAGATATTCTGGTTGGGCTACAAAGAGGAGTGTGGCTCCAGGTGAGGAGCAGAGCGAGCTCTGAACCAGTTGGATGCTGGGAGGTTGGATTCGGCTCCAGCAGCAAAACTCCGACTAATTTTGGATAAAACTGGGACGTTATAAACTGCATCTGTTTGAAGGAGCTGCCATCCCACAGGAGGTCTGATAATCCCAAATCTTGCAGCACTTCCAGGGCTGAGAAATAAAACTCTGGCCTTTTTTTTCCCCCTCTGTTTGTGAATTTTTGGAGCTCCTGAAATCTGGGGGTTCCTTACTCAGAGCAAGAAAGGAAAATTGCTGCCCTTGGAAGGTTGGAACAGTGCAAAAATTTGGGGGGAAGACAGACAGAAATATGGCAATAATAATATAATAATAATTACAATAGTAATGTCTGGCTCTTGCTGCTTTTGTATGAGAAGGTGTTTGCTTGGCTTGGTGGTTTTTCTGAGGTGTTAATGTTATTTTTACGTGAACAAGGGAGGTGTTACTGATTTCCTCAAGTGAAATATTAATTTTCCAGGAGGTGAAATATCACTTCATTTTTTTTTTCCCCCCACAGAACTTCTGTAGCTGGAAGGGGCAGTTCTGTGACATGGCAGGACCAGCCCTGAAAAATGACACAGATTATTTGTCAGGGCTTGGTCCAGGCTTGGAAAAATTTGGGATATCAGGCACACAACCTGGTTTTGCAGGTTCTCACATGAACTCGCCCTGAGGGGCACCTCAGGGGAGGGAAAAACTCATGGAGAGCAGGGTGGGGGTTATTAAAGCAAAGATATTTTATATTAAATGACCAGAAATTTGGATTGTTTAGCATTTCAAGGAGAATAAAGATTATTCCATGGAAAGGGCTGTCAGGCATTGGAACTACCCAGGGAGGTTTGGAGTCCCCACCCCTGGAGGTGTCCAAGGAAGGACAGGACGTGGCACTCAGTGCTCTGGGCTGGGGGATGAGTTGGGAATGGGGCACAGGGTGGACTTGCTGATCCTGGAGGACTTTTCCAACCTGGGTGATCCCATAAATCTGTGATTTTAACATCAGGTTTGAGCGTGAGAAGCTGCCGAGGCCCAGCCTTGTCCTTGCTTTTGCTCTGGCTCCTGGACAGAGCAGCAGGAATCAGCTTGGCTGGATCCATCACCTGCCTGCAAGGTTTTATTTCCCATTAACGGCTCCGAAAGCTCGGCACGATCCCGAAAATCCGGCTTTCTCCGGGCACAAATGGCGTTGCCGTGGCCTTTTCCTGGCTGAATTCCTCCACATCATTTCCCCCTGAGCCAGCTCGGTGTGAGCCCCGGGCTGGGCTTTGAGCAGATGAATGTAGGTTAGGTGTGAATGGGAATGAAACACCGGATAAAAATAACCTTGGGCTATTAGGAAATCGGGAAAGAGGGAAAAAAAAAAACCCTGCCCTGCTGCTCGTGCTCTGCCCAGCTCGGCACAGGAGGCAGCTTTTCCTCCCTTTCCAGGGAGCTTTGGGTGAGTTTTCCCTGAGGGAGTTTCTACCTTTGGCAGCCCTTGGTGTCCATATCCCTGGTTTTGCCCCAGATGTGCTGTTTTCCCTCTCCAAAGTGCCTCTCTAACCCTGTGCCCAATAACGAGGAGCAACCAGGGGAGAGGGGTTTTGCATCCAGTGCCCTTCGGGTTCGCTGCCAGGTGGCATCGGGAGCTCCAGGGAAATCTCTCTGGAGTTTGTTACCGAGCCTGTTTAATCCTAACTGATTTTTTTTAGAGCTTGAGGGGGCACCTCCTGCTCCTCCCAGGGCCGGGGAGCAGCATTTGGCCGTGGCTGCCACTCCAGGCAAAGAGCACTTGCTCCTTTTTCAGTAATGAATCCGCCTCGGCTGCTCCGTCCCGGCCTCCCCGGGACTCTGGGATGTATAAACAATCGTTTGTGGATCACTCTGTTTTCTCTTCCATGGCACTGGCTCTGTCTGGAGCCAGTGGGGATCGGGCAGCCCTGATGGGAGTTGGATTTTAAGTACATTTTAAGTACATTTTAAGGACAGATGTAGGAAAAAAACAAACGTGGAAAGCAACGTGGTTTTCCCTGAGGGAATATCATCGTCTTTCACTGAGGGGCAAGTGATGCTCTGGGTTGGTAGAGTTGGTGGTACAAAAGCAGCTTTTTTTTCCCCAAATTCTCCCATCCTTGACTGTCCATGTGCTTTCAGAACACTTCAAATGCCCACCTGCTCCTGGCCTGGCATTTAAAATCTGTCTTAATTTGGCAGCAAACGGAGTCTCTCGCACTGGAGTCTAACAAAGATCTCCCCATCCTCTTAATTTTCCTGAAGTCCCTCGGGCACAGTTGACCTTTCAATCCATTGCACACCTCAGACTTCACTTGCACTCGTGTCCTTTTGTTTGTGGTCCTGTCAGGAGGTCAGGAATTGTCTTTTCCTGGGAGTGGGTTTGGATGCCCTTGCAGAATTCCACGTCCCAGACCTACAGATCTCACTGTTTAAACAGGACTGGGTGCAACACCCGGGTTTGTGTGCAAAGGGAAGGTGGCACAGAGGTCACAGCGTTTAGTTCTTGGAATGTTGTGAGTGTTTTATCCGTCATTTCTGTTAATTTTGAGGGAGCTGACTCTGAGGATGAGCTGAATGTGCTGGGTCTGCTTGGGCACTCCATGAACAACCATGGCATTGCAGGGACAGGATAAGGGGGAATGGGTTCAAACTGAGAGGGGAGATTTAGATGGATATTGGGAAGGAATTCTTCCCTGTGAGGGGCTGGGATGGAATTCCCAGAGAAGCTGTGGCTGCCCCTGGATCCCTGGAAGTGTCCGAGGCCAGGTTGGAGCAACCTGGGCTGGTGGAAGGTGTCCCTGCCCATGGCAGGGGGTGGCACTGGGTGGGCTTTAAGGTCCCTCCCAACCCAAACCATTCCATGATTCCATGACTTCTTTGTGAGATCAGGATTTCATTCCCGGTTTTAACTCATTCCCAAATATCCAGGCCTCCTAGCAGGAAGAAGGAGCTGTGTGTGTGCATCCCAGGGCTGGTGCTGTTCCTCTGGCATCTCCAGAGCAGGATTCTCTCCCTGCAGCTTGGCTGGCAGACGGGCAGAGCAGAGGAGAAGCTGGTTCCTTCTCCTGCCCAGCTCCTTGTGGGAGTGGAGCCGTGCAAAGCCAAGGAGGGAACTTACATAAAAGTTCTTGGCTGCTCCCGTTGGCGCAGCCTCAGATTTTATCTTGCATAACTTCGCTCTCTGGGGCCACCAGGAAAAGGCAAAGCCACAGTTCCAGAGCTTCTCGTGGGTCTCTGGATGGTGGGATGGGCAGCACTGCTCCTGGAGTCACATCCCAGCTCCTCTAAGCTCTCTGACCCCACTTCTGGGCCTTTTTACTCTTTAGGGTGGCTCCTGAGGTGGTGGCCGTGTTTGAGGGCCTGGAGCGATGGGGAATATGGGAGGGGAATGGTTCCTGTTTCTCCATTCTCTTGCAGGACAACCCCACTGTTTGGAGAAGTGCTGACAAATTATTTTCTAGCATCTCAATGGCAGCAAGTCCCAAACCCTCTCTCACTCCAAGCCCTGCACCCACATTTCCACACAGCTCCTTTTGCTCGTTCCACCTGATCCTATTTGTGCAGCTTCCCTGACCTCCTCCCACTGCATGATTCCTGCCATCCTTACACCGATCCAGAGGGGGAAAACAGGTGAAATCCTGCAAAATCCACATCCAGAGGGGCCGTGTTTTCCTTTTGGAGCAGGGCTGAGCTCTGAATGCAGTAAAACCCCTCGACCAGCCTGTGTTGGTTCAGGGAGGTCTTGCTTAACCCTCTTTAATTGGCAGCTCCATGGGGAAGGCTCTGTGTGTGCTCTGGAGCGTTCCAGGCACGTGGGACATGGGAGCACAACTTCCAGAGGGACCCATGAAAGCGGGGCCACCTTATTGCAGGATCCCCTTTCATCAGATCAGCTCTTGTTCTCCTCGCTCCTGCAGCTCCTGTGATTGGAAAATTGATGTTCAGCTCTAAAGGATCCCTTGTGCAGCCTCATCCTCCTTTTCCCTCAGGGGTTTCGGGGTAGATTGCTGCTGGATTTGCATTTAAAAGCGTGGCACCACTGTTCCTCCCTGTGTTATTTGTCTAGCTCTGTCCTGTTAAATTCAACATACTCTGGCATATCACGGAATTACTGGGGTTGGAAAAGACCTGTAAAAGCAACTTCTGCTTTCTGGGGGGGTGTGTTGGTCCTCCTGCCTGAATTGGTGGCTCCTGGTTTTCCTGGTTTTGCTGATATTTGCATGAAACCTGTTTTAGTGCAACATTATGATGATTATTGTCCCCTGGGAATTAGGAGGCAGCTCTGGAGCGGGTGCTGATGGCATACAGCCTGGGTGTTTAGCCAAGCTCTGGCAGCTCAGCTCTTCTCCTTTCAGGATTTGGGAGCATAATTTCGGTGGGAATCCAGTTTCCAAGTGTCTGCTCCAGACTGGGAAGCAAAACCCTCCCGATTCCTCTCACCCCCCCCCAAAAAAAAAAAAAAAGCAAAAAAGAGACGTGTTGCTGACTTCCTTGCCTTCCCTTTCCAGCTGTCCCATTCCCTCCCACGCAGCGGCTCACCCTGAAGGAGGTGTTTGAGGATGGGAAGCCGAGGCTCGACGTCCTCAAGAGCCACTTGGTGAAGGAAGGGCGGCTGGAGGAGGACGCGGCGCTGAAGATCATCAACGACGGCGCCGCCATCCTGAGGCACGAGAAGACCATGATCGAGGTGGAGGCCCCCATCACAGGTCAGAGAGCCCAGAAAGGGCCACCTGGGGTAACACCAGCAGGGCTGACATGGGTTTTTGCTGTGTTTTAACTCTCAGAAGAGAGGGTTTTGCTGGCGGAGGTCGAGGCCGCCGCGCTCAGCTCCTTGTTGCTGTTGTGACCTTTCTTTTCTTGGCACGTAATTCTGTCCCTCTTTTGTGCTGTTCTTGCTCCCCCAGTGTGTGGTGACATCCACGGGCAGTTTTTTGACCTGATGAAGCTGTTTGAAGTTGGAGGATCACCCAATAACACCCGCTACCTCTTCCTGGGAGACTACGTGGACAGAGGCTACTTCAGTATAGAGGTGACAAAGAAAGCTGAGCTTGGTACTAAAGGAGCCAAAAGCGTTGAGCCTCAGTTAAAATACAGCTCAGGATCAGTTTAAATACAGCTTGGAATCAATTAAACACAGCTCAGAATCAGTTAAATAACCTCAGAATTGCAACTCAGAAAGAATAAAAACACCACCCTCAATCAGTTCAAATTCAGCTCAGAATCAGTTCAGATTCAGCTCAAAAGCAGTTAAATTCAGCTCAGAATCAGTTAAATTCAGCTCAAAAGCAGTTAAAATGCAGCTCAGAATCAGTTAAATCCAACTCAAAAATCAGTTCAAATTCAGCTTAGAATCA